CTTTTCTGAACTTATATTAAATATTATTAAAAAATTTTTTTTTAATGTTTATTTTTGAGAGAGTGAGAGAGAGCACGAGCAGGGGAGGGGCAGAGACAGAGGGAGACACCGAATCCAAAGCAGGCTCCAGGCTCTGAGCTGTCAGCACAGAGCCCGACCTGGGGTTGGAACCCACAGACTATGAGATCATGACCTGAGCCGAAGTCAGAAGCTCAACCAACTGAGCCACCCAGGTGCCCCTTATATTAAATATTATTAAGAGCAGCCTCAAAACTAGTTAGGAGGGTATGCATTGACATGTATGTCCAGAGGAAATTTCATTAAGCACATTCCTAAACTAGAATCTTCAGCAACTTTAACTAATTATGTTGACAAAGACACCACCAAAAAAGAAAACTACAGACCGGTATCTCTGATGAACACACATGCCAAAATCTTCAAAACATTAGCAAACTGAATTCACCAATACATCAAAAGGATGTTTTACCATGATCAATGAGGATTTATTCTGAGGATTCCAGGTTGGTTCAATATTCACAATCCCATCAATGTGACACATCATCATATTAACAAGAGGAAGAATAAAAACCCTCTGATGATGTCAACAGGTACAGAAAAAAGAATGTGACAAATTAACAATATCCGTTCATGATCAAAACACTCAACAAAGTGGGTTTAGAGGGAACATGTCTCAACATAATAAAGGCCATATATCAAAACCCCACAGCTAATATCATATTCAATGGTGAAACACTGAGGGCAGCTTTTCCTCTGAGATTATGTACAAGACAAGAATGTCCACTCTCACCACTGTTATTCAACGGAGTACTGGAATTCCTAGCCACAGCAATCAGACAAGAAATACAAGGCATCCAAGTTGGTAAGGAAGAAGTAAAACTGTCACTATTTGCAGATGACATGACAGTCTATGTAGAAAACCTGAAAGACTCCACCAAAAAAACTATTAAAATAAATCAAATCAGTAAAGTTGTAGAATATGAAATCAATACACAGAAATCTGGTGCATTTCTATAAACTAATAATGAAGCAGCAGAAAGAGAAATTAAGGTAACAATCCCATTTATAATTGTACTGAAAAGAATGAAATACCTAAGAATAAATCTAACTGAGGAGGTGAAAGTCCTGTAATGTGAAAATGGTAAGATACTGAATCAAAGAAACTGAACACAACACAAATGGAAAGATGAGAAGAATATCATTAAAATGTCCATACTACCCAAAGCAGTCTACAGACTCCATGCAATTCCTATCAAAACATGAACTGCATTTTTCATAGAACTCAAACAATCCCAAAATTTGTACAGAACCACAAAAGACCTTGCATAGCTGAAGCAATCTTGAAGAAGAAGAACACAACTGGAGGTATCACAATCCCACATTTCAAGATACGCTACCAAGCTGTAATAATCCAAACAGTATTGGAATGGTAGAAAAACAGACACATAGATCAATGAAATAGGACTGAGAGCCCAGAAATAAATCCACGTCTATATGGCCAATTACTATATGACAAAGGAGGCAAGAATATATGATGGGGAAAAGATAGACTCTTCAATAAATGCTACAAGCACAAGAATGAAACTGGACCACTTTCTCACTCCATACACAAAAATAAACTCAAAATGGATGAAAGGCCTAAATGTGAGACCTCAAACCATAAAACTCCTAAATGAAAACATAGGCAGTCACCTCTCTGACCTGTCTTACAGCAACATATTTATGGAGTTGTCTCTCAGGAAGGGAAACACAAGCAACAATAAACTACTGGGACCACACCAAAATCAAAAGCCTCTCCACAGTGTAGGAAAACATCAACAAAACATAACCTACTGAATGGGAGAAGGTATCTGCAAATGATATAACCCATAAGAGGTTATTATTCAAAATATATAAACAACTTATATACAACTCCCCCCCCCCCAAATAATAATAATCTGATTAAGAAAGGAGAAGACCTGGGGTGCCTGGGTGGCTCGGTTGGTTGAGCGTCCGACTTTGGCTCAGGTCATGATCTCGCGGTCTGTGAGTTCTAGCCCTGCGTCAGGCTCTGTGCTGACCGCTCAGAGCCTGGAGCCTGTTTCAGATTCTGTGTCTCCCTCTCTCTCTGCCCCTCCCCTGTTCATGCTCTGTCTCTGTCTCAAAAATAAATAAATGTTAAAAAAAAAAAAATTAAAAAAAAAAAAAAAAAGAAAGGAGAAGACCTGAGTAGACATTTTCCCAAAGAAGACATTCAGATGGCCAACAGATACTGTGTAGATACGTATGTGTGCGTATGTATGTGTGTGTATACACATAAAATATAAACTTTTGAGACCATCAGCAAGGTCAATAAAAAACCCCAACGTTCCCACATCCCCACGGACTCTGCCAAGCTGCCTGTAGCAGTATGTCCTTGGGAAATAATGGATGTGCTCAAAAGTCGCACGTAAGGAGGCAGGGAAGGGACATCATTCTATCGCCATGTAACTGAACAACATATGCTGTAGAGAAAAAGGAATAAGCATCTTCTTAAGGAGGAGAGGTAGGTGGAAAAAAGCCCACTGGTATGTTCTGAGTGGGTTTACCAGCCATGTGAGAGGTTTATTTATCAAGTCATGTATCTGAACCTCAATTTTCTTACAATGGGGATAAGAAAAAAACCCACTTCACAGGGTGGTGAGAATTCACACATTGATATAAGTGCTTAGGATACAGCCTGGCCTAGGGCAGACACGTGATAAACTCGTTTGCACATATCTAGCAACTTAACATGCAACACACACACATCATTACCAACATTTGTAATATGAATACTACAAGTCATGCACTAAAATTTTAATAGGCATTATCCCTGCAAGTGAAACAACAGCCTTTTTTCTTTTAAATTCTCTGTTTTCTAGATTCTCTTTAGTTGAATAAAGCCAGCAATATATTAATATTTAAATATCTCCATTTTTTCCCAAGTAGCCTTAACAATACTGCTTTCCATCTATTAACGTTTCTCTAATATAACCCACTTTCTGCATAGTGTGTTTATGGAAATAGGGTACTTCTGTTGATTTAATCTGAAGAGTAATACATTTCCCCTTTATTCTTCACAGCCAAACAGTTTGCTCATATTTCTTCCGATAAAGTCCTTTCTGCCCTCTAATACATTTGCAGATGAAGAGTACCCCGAAAGGATTTTAGAGCATAAAAGGTAGGGAGAAAGAAGGGATTAATGTCTCCACAAAGCAAAGTTAAAGGACACAACGTGGCAAGTTAAGGACAGCCATACGGAAAAAGGACACCTCACCTCAATTATGTAAGGCCGGCAAACTACCGCAATCAATATTTCAACTCCATTCCCCTAGTGTGGTCAAAAGATGGAGACAATTCGATAGCTCAGCAGTCCGTCCGGTGCTGCGACAATCATTCTGGAAGAAAAGGAATCTCGTTGAGGAGAACGTGATGGCAAAATATGCTTGATTACTGGAGACAGCTATAGAGTTGAGAAATGAGCAGAGTTAAGCCATTTTCCGTGATTGGGGGGAGAGGTGGGGGTGGAAGGGACGGGCCAGAATGGCAGAGAGCCTACGAGCTCATGCAGGCCTGGGTCCCCCTTGCTCTCGGTAAAAGCCGGGTTGCTTGCTCTTTCGGGATCTCCCCATCGCTTCAAAGACAAGGGCTGTTCCTCCCAGCCTCTCACTGGCACTTCCAACGCTGTTCAGGTGTTTGTCGGCGGGTCTAGAAGCCGGCTCAAGAATACCATTCATTTTCATATTTTGGTATCTCTGTCATTTCAGAGTCAGACTACTCCGTAAGAAGCACATGGCCTTTCCCCGAAAACCAGCTCCACCGAGGATTTTTCTCAGCATGTGGCAGTTCCCTGGGATTAAAACCTTGGGATTATGCGCAAGCCATCCCCCATCCCAGAGCAGTCCAGCACCACTTTCCCTTGAACATCCCACTGTTCTGTGCCCCGTCTTTCTCACTCCGGTCCACCGTGCCTGGCGAATACCGGGACACCCCCAGCCGCCGACAGCAGTGGCCTTGACCCTGCCCTCTCTCTGCAGACCTCCGCCTGCCCACTCTCTTGCAGACCCGGTGTCCCTGTCCTCTAACCTCTGCCACCCTCAACAGCCCCCTCTCTCCTGGGCCTCATCTTTCTGGGCTATAAAATGAAGAACGGATTAAGATGTCCTCCCTCGATCTTCATTGTGCTTTGAGGTCAGATGTCCCGGTGCTTACATCCCGCCCCAGCCACTTGGCAGAATTTACACAAGTCCTCACAAAGGGGGCCAGTTGACATCTACCCCTAAGGTTGCTGTAACAGGAAAAACTATGAGATCCAGGGCATGGTTTACAACACATGCTTGAGAAATACTGGTCGTTCCCACCCCACCTTATAGGAGATCTCCAACTCTCGACTTCTCTGGTCTCCTCATTTCGAAATCCAGCATTCCTTACATGAGGATCCTGGGTGGCAACAATATTCTCTTCCGTCAAATATCAACTCCTCCACGGACTTTCAGAGGCTTCCATAACCTAGCTCTAATTTATCTTATCTTCCTCCAGCTTACAACAAATAATTCTGGTCCTAGTCAGGCTAAGTCTTACTATGTTCCAAAGAACACACCCTTGACCCTTCCTTTGTTTCATTCCTCACGCAAGATACTGCTTTTCTTATTCCTTCTGTCAAAGCCCAGCTGAGCCTGTGGCCCCAGTAATGCCCATGTTCCAGACACTTGAACCCTCACACAGTGTCTTAGTGGCAATGTCCATTGTTTTGTGTTTATTAAGTATAGTGGTCCAGCTGGAAAGGGACCGCTCTGATCATTTTAACTTAATTTTACAGGTTAGCATGGACCACAAACCAACCCAGCATTTTTTGGATCAGCTTTGTGAACGCTTTGTGAAATTTATACGCCTTTGTGCCTTGAGGTAATAAGACTTTTTTTTTTTTTTTTTTTTTTTTTTTTTTTTTTTTTTTTTAATTAACTCCACTTTCATTTGCCTAGAGAGGCTCACACAGGAGCCTGTTTCATCAGCGATGAGGAAACCGCGCACAGACCATCCAGGGGCCTCCTCGCGGAGCCAGGAGAGGAGCTCTAAGTGCGTCCGATGCCTGTGGATTTTGTGTTGAAGCCAATGTGTTCGGATTTGAAAAGCCATCTTGTGATAACACTCTCGGCAACAACAGGACTCACGGTGGAGAGAAAGAGGATTGGCCGCTAGGCTTTTACCTCCAGAAACACGACGGCTGAAGTTCCAGGACTAAAGGAAGCGTGATGACAGAAGACACAGTGAAGCATCAAGGGAGACACAGGAGGAAGAACTTAAGGAGGAGATACAGAGCGAGGGGATACAGAGGCAGAAGAAACAGCGTGCAGGTGCCGAGACCGCTAGCCCAGGGAAAGATGAGCGACGTCGAGGGCTGCGGATGGGGACGAACACGATGTCACGGAGTTGAGCGCCTAGTAAGGCAGCCACAGGTGACCCCTGAGGACAATTTGTCATAGGGGCTGGTCCAGGGTGCAGACCACAGGGGACTGCGGACAAACCAGGAGGGCAGACGGAGACCAGCAGAGACACTGTTATCAAGAAGTGTGCTAATCAAGCCACCGAAACAGCTGCTTATCTCGTATCCTGAAGTTCACCGGACTTAAACCAATAAAAACACCTCCCCCCATGCATGCCCTCACTCCTCGCTTCTCCACGGGCACAGACCTCAGTGACCAAAAATAACCGACGACAGAGCCTTCCAACCTCTCTCTCCCAACACCCCCCACGGTGCCTGGTTTTGGCTAAGACACCTTCTAGAACTAGTCAACAGCCACCTGCTATCAACGCTCAGCATCTAAATTCGATTGTCCCGCCTCAGGTAAATGCCAGTTACCTGTTTATCAGAGGGAAAAATGAAACCAGACGCTACAATGTGTCAGCTGAACAGGAACAGAAGCGCAAACTCAGGTCAGATACCTTTGGGTGAACTATATCATTGATCCTCAACTGTCAGAAAGAGAACTTTCAACTTCTACTTCCTTCAAAAGCATGCTTGTTCTTTACTGTAAGTTTAAAAAACAAATATGAATAAAAAAAAAACGATCAGCATTAGCCTGTTTTTTTTTTTTTTAATTTTTTTTTTCAACGTTTATTTATTTTTGGGACAGAGAGAGACAGAGCATGAACGGCGGAGGGGCAGAGAGAGAGGGAGACACAGAATCGGAAACAGGCTCCAGGCTCTGAGCCATCAGCCCAGAGCCCGACGCGGGGCTCGAACTCACGGACCGCGAGATCGTGACCTGGCTGAAGTCGGACGCTTAACCGACTGCGCCACCCAGGCGCCCCAGCATTAGCCTGTTTTTAATCTTCTACTTTGTTGTGTGCATGATGCATCTATAAACATAATACACGAATGTGTCTCTATTGACCTAAAAAGAGACTCCCTAGCAGAAGGATTTCCAGCTGTGTTTTTAGTAACATTTCTCTCTTAACAGTAACACCAGGGACTACCCCCGTCTCCCTGCCAATACTAAGCCAGGTTAACAGCTTCTGCTTCATTGGTTCCTCTGGTCCTTCTACGTTCTGTGTTAGTCAACTCCCCTCTCTCTCCTCTGTCACATGTCTTTGCTGCTGAAGAGCCATTCTGGTCACGAGACAAATATTTCTGTTTAGGAACCAAGGCTACTTTATCAGCCACTACAAATGTAACCCGTGACAGTTGACTTTCCAACATTCCCAATACCCTCGAAGGGTCCTCCGCTGGTTATAGGTTAGCGACAGCTAGGGTAACAGTATACATGTGAACCTATGCTTTTGGCGGGGGTTAAGAAGCACTGTTGCATAAATATTTTAAGTAGAGCCTGTACTGAAATTCTAGATGAAGAGGCATTCACCGATACTCTACAACATGCTGGGGGCCCAAGGTAGCAAATTTTTATTGACGCTGTGAGCAAGCCTTGCCATCTGCTAGGGGGGTCTCCAAGATTTCACCCTAAATGTATCCCCCTCCACACCAAATGTTTCTATTTTTTTTTTTTTTTTAATGCATTAGCTGCGCTGTGGGCCAGGTAGTGCGTGACACAACGGCCAAGGACGGTGGGTGCTCGGTGAAGCTGTCTGCAGTCACAATTACTCGTCGCTTTGGGAGCCCAAGGGCACAAGTGCACAGTGCAAGTGCACCAGGCGGGTGAGTTTCCCCGCAGCAATATCACCACAACCAAGTCATTCATCGCCAGAGAAGGGAAAAAGAAACCTCTCCCCAGGATTTGACGCATGCACTGAAGATTTATGGAAAATGCTTCGGGATGTGAAGGCTACTTCTCCAGAAGAGGCAGGTTTCCGGACTGCCCTGGGAAACAGCCCAACGATAGATGCCTCTGTCCCCCTTGCTGGTGTGGGGCAGGTACAGCCACCCACAAATCTGGAGCCCTGAGGAAGAGCGGGAGACGCCCCCAAAGTGGGGATCCGACTGTGGGTGACCGCAGCTCTAGGAGCGCAGGGGAGACAGAGCCTAGCCTCTGCCCACTAGGAGGCTCCTATATTTGTCTCTCCCCACTGCCCTCATTGCTGTGGCTGGAGGGCTCTAACTTCTCTGCTTCGGGGAGGCTGCAGCCAGATTTTGTCAGGAGAATAGGGCTGGAGAGGAAAGCAATTGTCCCCTAAGGAGAGTCTTGCGGGAGGGCTGAGTGGGAGACGTGGAGGAGCACAGGACTGCACCTGCTCGGACGGGGTGACAGACACGCAGGAGGCCGGAGGGAATGGCAGGACTCCTGCTGTGACAAAGTACCTTCCCCAACCTCAACTCTCACCCAGAAGCAGCAGGGACCAGTGCGAAGAGATGAGCCAAGGGTGGGGGGATGGGTCTTCCAGACCTCATGACATATCATAAGAATGTCGAAGTCTGGGGGGCACATGAGTGGCTCAGTCCAGTGAGCATCTGACTGCGGCTCAGGTCATGATCTCGCGGTTCATGGGTTAGAGCCCATGAGCTGTGCTGACAGCTCAGAGCCTGGAGCCTGCTCTGGAGTGTCTCCCTCTCTCTCTGCCCCTCCCCTGCTTCCACGCTCTCTCTCTCTCAAAAATAAAATAAACATTAAGAAAATAAAAATAAATTAAAAAAAAAGAACTTGGAACCCTGGCAAACCTTGCTGGGGTGTGTGGGAAAGAGACCCAACGTTAACCTTTCTGCTACCACCCTGGAGTAGAAGATGAGTGGATTGAGAAAAATACAGTATTTTTTTGCACCCTTGAGTCTGTGGACCAAGATTCATTCTCAACTTGAATTAACAACTCAATGAGCAAATGAGCTCATGATGAAGGTAAACGGCTTAACAGCTAGTAACCTATATATTTTTCTGACACTATCAGTCGAAATGCATAGATCTCCGTCAGATCAGGATGCCATTCAGAGTAAAGGACCCTTTGAGAGCAGAGGCTCATGAGGCTTTTGCATCACGCAGACATTTACCATGAATTTTGGCCTTGCTCGTCACCAGAGCTGTTTCTAAAGGTGCAGCACTGACAGAGACAGGTGTCACTGGAGGCATCACCAGCTGGCATTGACGAGGCCTCATGGGGTGGAGTCACTCAGAAAATTCACTGTCATCCTTGACCTTGATTCCCAGCCTAGCCCAAGGTTTCTTAGGTCCAACAATGAGCTTTTCTTGGAGCCAAAGAGGATTCCTCCCCTAGAGCGTGAAGTTAATGAATAAATCCACAGCAACACGTTCATGGTATGCGTGGGGGGGATGCTTCGGTCCCCTCCACATGAACTACTCCCTTCTTGGGAATTTTCTGATCCAGCTACAGGGTCAGAGGGGACTCTCCCATACTGCCTCCTGGTACACACACATCTCACCCAGCCAAGGCCTCGATGGGCCCCACGGAGGCATCAGACCCATGCTAAGCAAGAAGCTTCCTTCCTCGGGTTTTCAGCCAGGCTCCAGATGCAGGTGGCTCTGCCCACAGAAAGAGCTGATGTGCAGAAAGGTGGGGTGAAGCTGAGGGCAGTCGAGACAACAGAGTTCTCCATGTTCTCAGTGCTTTCCCTTTGACCCTAGGTTTTCTCTGAGGGTCCTGGATTCCTTGGGGGTACTTTGGTATCCTGAGAAAGCCCTCCTCAAGTTGGTTTTGATTCTCACAGCCAAAGACGCCCAGCTGAATACCATTCTTTCCCTGTTACCGTGTTCTCCAGAGGATAATCAGATGTGCTGGGTGAGCACTGGACCAGACCAGAGAAAGGAGAGCCAGGCTGGGGGGTGGAGGGGAGAGGTGGGGGTGCCTGCTGTAGGCCATGTTTTGAACCTGGAACACCTCCAGGTCTAGGCCTCTCGTCCATTTTCAGTGTGCCTCCCTGGCCCATTTGTGCCTCCCTGAATCCTATTTTTCTAGCCTTGCATGCTGACTATTCTACTTTAGCTGACGTTTTCCTTACGTACACACATACATACATATATACATTCCATTTCTCCTCCTGTATTCAGCTGTACTATTTCCAGCTGTAGACATTCTATGAAGTCAAGATACAAAGATAAACCCCCAAGAGGGACGTGAGTGCTCTGCTCAGTGCCCACTCCTGGTATATATAGGCTTGTCATCTCAGAGGTGGAATTTTTACCACAAATTGAGCCTACGTTACAAAGACAAGTTAAACATTATACAGAGATGGGAGAAAACGGTCGTCTATAGTAACATCAGGTTTTTTTTCATAGAAAACTGGTTGGGTCTGGTATCTTCTCCCATAAACATGCACGTACAATTTTTCTTTTTTTTTTTTAAGTTTATTCATGTATTTTGAGAAGAGAGAGAGCATGCACATGTGTGAGCAGTGGGCGGGGTGGGGGCGGGTGGTTAGGGAGAGAGAGAATGAGAGAGGGAGAATCCCAAGCATACTCCATGTTGTCAGCATGGAGCCTGACATGGGGCTTGAACCCACAAACTGTGAGATCATGACCTGAACCCAAATCAAGAGTCAGAAGCTTAACTGACTGAGCCACCCAGGCATCCCTACAATTTCTTGAGCTGGTAAAGAATAGTCCAACTTGGTCATGGGTATTTTTTTTTTCAATTGTCATACTTGATTTTATTCCTTAAAAACTTGCAATGATGTTGTAACAAAGTATAAATCTTGCTGTTTATTATGTATGTATTTAAGAAAAATCAACGGTGAGAAACACTTTTTTTTTTCTTTTTAAGTAGGTTTCACGCCAAGTGTGGAGCCCAACATGGGGACTGAACTCAACACTCTAAGATCAAGCCCTGAGCTGAGATCAACATTCAGATACTTAACCCATAGAGCCACCTGGCGCCCCTGGTGAGATATATTCTCCAATTGTCCAGGGGGCGGGAAATTAAAATATATTTAATTTTTAAAATTTTAAAGAGAGGGTTCAATAGAAAAAGCTTTTCTCTTTTAAGATTAATCAATCAGAAATGAAATCGTTGAATGACATGTAAACTTTTTTTTTTTTTTTTTTTTTTACCCTTCGTGGCTTGACAAACGCAAAAAAAGAAGAAAAAGAAGAAGGAGGAGGAGGAGGAGGAGGAGAAAGGAAAATGTCACACTCAAGAGACTGCACAGGAAAAAAGGGCATTCAGTCATCCAAAGTATAGTTCCTTACCTGATATCTAGATTTTATAAAGGAGGAAGAACATTTCCACTTAGGGCAAAGAAAACAAAATTACTTGTACGTGTGTGACCCAATCAAAAAGTGCTTTCTCTCTGACGGGGTTACCAAACTTGGCTCAGTTCTGCCATCTAAACCGTAAGCCCCAGGATGGAAAGTTCCAGACCTTCCAGCACTTCTCTCCTTTTTCAGTTCTCTGTGGAGGAAGTAACTACATCTGGGAGTGACCCGGGGGTGCGGTGGCAAGAGACCCCTTCGTCAGACTGAGGGAGGGGTGTGCAAGGAGGTAACCATTAGCTATAGGCACTCTGGAGAATGCCACATGTCAAACATCTTTACTTCCCGAGAAAATTATAACAAAAGGTACCATTAAAAGAAACCCCAGGGGTGCCTGGGGGGCTCAGCTGGTGGAGCATCAGACTCTTGA